GCCTTGTGGCCAACCAATTCCAGCCCAGCAAGCAAGAACCAAGGGCAGCCATCCAGGCTCCTGACAGTTGTCCAGCCTGACCTCATCCACATCACATGGCAGTGGGCACTGCAGGGTTGAGGCAGAATACGTTAGAATAGCAGAAAAGCCAAGGGGTTGTATTGGAGGGAGGTGTAGCACTGCATCAGGATTAAACCCACTGAAATCAGCTCATGGCTGGATTTAGAGATGCTCCATGTGAAGCTTTAGTCTCTTCTGAGACGATGACAGCTCCCAGATGAATGTATTATCAGCTGGCCAGCTAAAAAGCAAGGAAAGCAGCACTGCACATTAATTCTCCAGGTCCACAGCCATACAGATTTAGGCACACAACAATTTTAGCCTATGGCAAACCACCATTTCACATATGTAAGACTACAAAAGCCACTAGAGGCCACTCCTAAGAGGTTACACAGGCTGAAGCCAAACCATTTGCTAAGGACATGCCGGTTTCCAGGATGCAAATCTGCGTGCTACCCCTTAGTCATCACAGTCAAGTGTCCAACACTGTTTAAGCCTTCACAGAAGAGCATATAAATTCTTTTCCTGGGTGTTGCAACAGTACATCAAACATTATTTCACCATCTGGGATGGAGAGACAGTAAAAGCAGCCACAAACTGCTAAACAAACACATAAACACTAAGCTGAGGAGCACTCCTCAGACACTGTGTTCGAGGTGCATTCCAGCCAGTGCAAGCTGGTCTCTGCTAGTCGTGGCTGATCCAAGGGCACCTCCCAATTTATACACAATGAAGCCTTCTCCACTACAATAGGATTGTGGGTTAACAATATATATAGAGAGAGGACATGAACTATTTATGCTGGCCAAGTTACTGCTGATGGCTCTTGCTCATCTGCAGCTGGAAATGCGAGCAGCAGGGGAGGGATGAGACGCCCTACACCGCTGCTTTCCTGGGAGGGAGAGAGCTGCTCTTCCTGCCTCTCCCCATGCTGCTGCTGCTGTCACCTCCCTCAAACTGAATTACAGAGCACTACAGCGAGAGCAGGGAGAGAAGGAAAGTCACCATCACCGCCTGTGGCACTCTACCCCACTGCAACAGCGTTTTGTACTTGCCACGGGTATGGAGTAAGCACTCCTTCTGCTGCTTCTGGCCTCCAGGTACCTTTCAAGCAAGAGGCAGCAGGGAGAGGTTCCTCTGTCTTCCTCCATCAAGTGTACAAATGCAGCACGTCTCTGGGATGGTATTTGGGGAGTATAAGTGTATATGTGCTCTCCCAGCTCTGCTTCTGCAAAGGCTGCAAAATGCCAACCCCTGTGGCTCCTATCTCCAAACCAGAAAGAGCAGTAAATGCCCACAGCTTGATGAGATAACATCAGTATTGACAAAGCAGCACAGAGGCCTTGTGTGAGAAGTTCTTTAGACAAAATACATTACCATGAAGCTCTTTTCCATCCATATACTCCCTAAACAAAGATTCCAGCCAGGACAAATCATACTACAGAATAATATCACATGCTGCCTCTGCAAATCTTGTCCAAATGTTGATCTGAATAAGGCAAACAGTAGCTTGGCCTCCTTATAGAGATAAGCAACTGAGTGTCAGCAACACAGTGCCTGGCCTCAGAAGCCAACTGAGAACATTCCAGGTCACCCTGACACCTACATCTGCTCCCAGATTGAGTTCAGCTCCTCGACTTGTAATGAGTGATGATAGCAGTGACCAGAAGTCTCTCTGTGAACAGATGAGCACCACTGGTGACACCAAAGGAGTTGGGCTCCCCCCAGAGCCAGCAGGGAAGCCAGGTTTCACTTCAGTTCCCCAGGTCAGAAACACTACAAGAGGGCAGCAGGACTCACAGCTGCCCTGTGTTGAAACCTTTCCCCAAAGCCAAGTGCTTTATCCACTGACAGCTCCCCTCCCAGACACAGGGAGGGAACAACAGCAGTGCTGGTGGGTAGAAGTAAGGTGCCATAGAATGGTTTGGGTTGGAAAGGACCTTAAGATCATCCCGTTCCAATCCCCTGCCATGGGCAGAGACACCTTCCACTGCAGCAGGTTGCTCAAGGCCCTGTTCTTCAGCAGGAATATTGTATATAGCCCTCAGGAATTCAGCTTTCTCAAGGATCTGTAGGATTTTAAGACTAGCTCTTAAGCTAGTTTAAAACAGCTCTTAAGCACTGACCCAGTGGAAAAGCAGCACTCCTGAGATACTCCAAAATAAACCTGAAATTCAATGAGAGAAATATGAATGCAGCTGAGGACAAGATTATCCCAGCTCGAAAAACACTCCTTATTATCTTGCATCGCAATGCTTTGGCAAAGATAACTTATCCAAGCCACCAGGTCACTGCTAAGTGGCTTTTTTCCTGTTCTCCCTGCCTTCCCCACCCCTCATTTCCCAAACTTCCCAGTAACCTGCTTAAAACAAACTCCTCAGCAGGCCAATGGGGATCAGCACATGATTCAGCTCCATTTCAAACACAGGAACTACCACAACACCCACAAATGACCTTATCTCCTGGAAGATAACTGGAGTCAGCTGCATGTTTCACACCTTCCACTGCTTATGGAATGAAGAAAAGGCACTTTCCCCACGGGGATAGATGCTACCAGGAGTAATTTAAGTCACATGTAGCAGCTTGGAAAGCCCACCCATTTCCCCACAGCAATACAAACCACTTTAATGCACACAGAGACCATTAATGCCTCTCCTTTAAGTAGTTAAGATGATGTTTGAATGCACTGATTTAAACAGAGGCTTAAAATATCTCCACAGACCAAATCCATGTGCAGAAAACCCCCCTCCAAGCTTCTCAAGAGAGGAATTAGCAGCACAGCTCTGACTGTCCCAAGAAGAATGCAGCCAGTGGCGAGCCCCAACGCAGCAAACCACTCACAATGGCTTTAAAAAGAAACGAAGACAAATAAAGACACCCATTCCAAACTTCATGAATGGGAGCTTCTTCCAGCAGGCACTCAAAGACACCCAAAGGGCTCCTCTGCTTGTCTCACACTTGGGTTTGTGCTACTCCAGGTTGTGGATCAGCTCCTGGCCCTTGGGATATGCTTCCTGCCTGTCTCCGGCTGCACTGGAGTTCTGTGCTCGCTCCACCTATTTTTGCCACAGGACTTTTTAGGGCTGTGCATCCAATTTCAAAGCCCAGGCCCCGGTGCCAGTGCTCTCCGCCGGCAGTAACGCCCACTGCATTCTCCAGCAGACAAAGCATTGCTCTGCCCAGGAATTTGGACTTCGGAGGCAGCTCCCCAAGCACAAGCTCAGGAACAGGCTGCCAGCACCCTGCTGGAACCCAAATGTACCTTATCAATATGAAACCTGCTTCAAGAACTCTTCCAGGTGCTGTTAGCTATACCCTGGCTTAAGGAGGGATGCCTGCAGCCAGGCCAACAGGAAAGCATCCTAGGAAGGAAAGGAAAAGAGATGGAAGAAGGCCCATTACCAACATGCAGCGCTACCAAACACACTGAACATCTCTACATCTCCCCTTCAGGAAGCTGGTCTGAGGTCTTTCCCAAGTCTTAGTATTCCAGGCACAAACTCCTGTTAAGATGGTTGTGAATAACATCTCACACCACACAGACACCCAGCACATGAAAGCTATTAAGATGTTTACAGCATGGAAAAGCCTCATGGAAAGCAGTGGAATTTTTGCACAGCATTCAGCCTGGAAATGGAAAGCTCAGATTAAAGCTGTAAATCCCACAGTTCCATAAGGAAAAGCTGGCCCTGCACTTCTGCTAGTCCTAAAGAAGATGGATACCACCACAGGGTTTGCACTGCACGCTCCTATAGCTGCAGTACAGGGATGTGCCAGAATTTGCTCAGGATTTGGGTCAGCAGAAGGATGGCTCCCAAGCATCCCTTCTCAGCTTCCAAAGAGGATGCTGGAGGGAAATAAAGAGCCCTTGCACCATCCTCTCTGGAAGAGGGAGGAGGCCACTTTATAACTGAGCATGCAAAGTCCAGTCCATCCACCTGATAGGGGAACTCCTGCCTTCTCCTGCAGGAAAGCTCCAGAGTACATCCATGAGACAGCAGGGACTGGAAGGAAGAGGAACAACCCAGCGCAGCGACAAAACAAACAGGGATCTACTCATAGATCTTCACATTAAGGCTCCTCCGTGCCTTTCAGGCACCAAAGAAATCAGCTATGGCTTTTAGGATTGTTGCCCACAATAAAGCAAGAGGAGTGTGCTGCTCCATAGGGCTGGAATAGAAACGCAACAGAAGATGCTGGGAAAACCACACACACAGAGCTGAGTTATAGCCCCTCAGCGCTGCGCCTAGGAAATGGAAACAGAAAGAGCAGCAGCATCAGCAACCACAGGGGTCTCAGAACAGTGCCCAAACCACAACGCTTCACCTCCGAAACTGCCCTGTGCTTAACCAGCAGCCAGGACACTGAACAGGACCATCAACAACTGAACTTGTTCATACAAGCCCTATGTTTCTGGCATAAGCATCTTTTAGTAAGACTTCAACTTAAAAGTATCAGAAGGCATCTAAAGACAACACCTCAGGTCACAAAGTGAAGGCGAGATACAAAGAGCATACCGCGTATCTTTCAAACAGGCATTCAATCATTCCCAAACACTGGAGATACTTGCTTAAGGGAAACATATCCTGAATGCAAACCTCCGGGGCCAGATCTGTGGCCACAAGCAGCAGCTGTGTGCCCAGCAAACACAGCCCCAGTGCAGTGGATGCAGGGGGGTGACAGTGGCTCTTTAAGCCGACCTTCAACGAAGCACTCTGCAGCCATGCAGGAGCACTGCCCCCGGAGCGCCCTGGAGCTCTTCAGCCTCAGAACACCCCAGTGAAACCCCGACCTTCCTCCAGCCGTGGAGGAGCACCCATCAGTCACCTCTATTATAAAAGCCCTATGGACATGAGCGCTGCCAGCGCCTGCTCTCTGCCATCAAGCACTCGAATCGATAGGGGTAAGAGAAGAAGGAAGGGGAGGAGGAGGAGGAGTACCTCTTACACAGCCCCTGTGCTCCGTGTCCAGCCGTGTTTTGGGTTCCCTTCCCACAGCAGACGTCCGTAACGTCCCAGCGGCACCAAGTGTTTCCACACGACAAGGTCGGAAGAGCAGCAGCACCACAGTTTACATCCGCCTTTCCCCACCAGCTCCGGAGCCGACGGTGGCTTTCAACCCACGGTACCTGCAACGAGCCGGTCAGGAGACCCAATGGAAACAGAACCCAACCCCCCCCGCCATTGCCTTATTACTATTATATGGGGAGCGGACAGCGGGACCCCGGGGCCTCCCCGGAGCCACTCACTGACCCCGGGGCCTGAGGGGGGCCGGGGAGCGGCCCTGAGGTGAATGGGGAGGGGGGGAGCGGCCCCCGGCGCTGAGGTGAAGCGGAGCGGGAGGACCAGGACCCCGGACCCCCCCCAAGGACCCCGCGCTGACGGGAGGCGAGGCCCGTGGGATCCCGGCCGCACTCACCGCGCCCGCCGCCCCGCTTCATTGAACCGCCGCGGCCCGGCTCCTTCCGCCCGCACCATAGAGAGGGGCTGCGGGGAGCGGAGGGATAGGGAGAGAGACGGGCAACCCACCCCTGCCGAGAGGAGCCGGTCTGTGGCGAAACTTACCATAGAGGCGGCGGCGGCGGGCGGTCCTCCAGGCGGCACCGCCCTCTAGCGGGCGGCGAGGGAGGGGCGGGGCATAAGGGGAAGGGGCGGAGAGAGGAGCGCACGTGCTTCCGGGTGTGTTTGGGGGGCAGGATCCCCGTGGGGTGCTCTGTGGGGGGGTGTAGGGCCCCTATGGGGGTGCTCATCGGGGGGGAAGTTCCCCTATGGGGTGGAGGACCCCTGTGGGGGTGCTTACTGGGGGGAAGGTCTCCTATCGGGGTGCTCTGCTGGGGAGTGGGAGCACTGGAATACAGGAACCCTATCGGGATGGTCTGCTGATGCAGGGTGCAGGTCCCCTATGGGGGGACCTCCTACGCTGTGGGAGGAGTTATAGGACCACTATGGGATGCCTTGCCATAGAAGGGGAAGTCCCTATGGAGTGCAGGTGCTTTGTCATAGGGGTGGGTGACAGGACCCAGGCTGGTTCCAAGGACTCTTCTCGCCTTCTTGGGACCCTTGAGCTGCCACCTAAAAAGCACCCTCAACCCCCCCACATCTGGGCCAGAGCAGGTTTGGGGATAGGACATCACCGGGTTCCTGATTGCATTCAATTCCTCTTTGGAGACCTGGTTATGGGGAGCTGGACCCCGCAAAGAGGATGAAGGCAGTGCCACATCCCATCCCCATGAAGCTTCCCAGCCAGTGGGAAAGGCTGGGGGCAGAGGGGCAAATCCCACTTCCATGGAGACTGGTTTCTCAATGCATGTGGGGAAGGCCAATGGCTTTTCCAGGCAGCGCTCAGCAGAGCAGAGGGGCTGTGGATGCCCCATCCCTGCTGCCAGCTGAGGGGTGGGCAATCAAACTCCATGTCATTTGTGCACACCCCGATACCATCCCCAGACCTGTCCCCATCCTTCTCCACTTGTAAGACATGGGTTGTTCTGGGGTTGTTTTAATCAGTGGTCAGGAAAGCAGAGATTCCTCAGCATTAACGAATCTTTCTCCAGCTCCCATTAAGGGGGTTGTGGGAATTGTAATTCCTTCCCTGAAAACTGAGGTTATGGAAAAATAACAGGATAAATAGTAAGGTGAGAAGGGAAAATGAGTAAGGGTGGTAATGAGTCAGTTAAAGAATGAAACAAACTGTTCTGCATGGAAAGGAGGGTTTCTATGTGGCCCCTATAAACCTGTGATATCACTTGCATTCAATACCTTGTCTGCGAGTCAGTGACCATGATCCCACTGCCAAGATGCTGGAAACAGACTGGATCCTGATGGGAGACCAGTGCTGATGCCAGGATGGCTCCATCACATGGAATTCCAGCTCTGTCAACCAAACTGCACCTATTTGGCAATGCTCTATCATCAAGAACAGCAATACTGATGGTGTTGCTATGCTAAGTACAGCTCTATCACACTCTCCAATTTTCCTGTGACTTCCATATATACGGAACAACAGAATGGGTGGCTACCAAGAGTTTAAAGTCGTGAGTTTATTGCATATGTAACAAAAATGAACATGACCTCCTGGGTCCAGCCTACTATACAATCACCGTTGATTCCAGCTGGTTCCATAACCACATTAAATAGAACTAGGATTTCTTTAAATACTTTGATTTAGACATACAATGAAACATTAGTGTACAACTTTCACAAAATAAATCTGCCGTAAAAACAGTGGGAAGAAGAACAAGGATAGCAGCAATACTTAAACCATGACATTACAAAATAATAAATTAAAAAAAAAAAGAAAGAAAAGAAGAAAAAAAAACCCCATATTATAAAGTGGTTGAGGAACAACAAAAGTAAGGAATTAAAAACCAGATCCATACAGTGTCTCTGGGAACTTGCTGTGTTGCCACACTTGATCCCCTGTACCTGGGCTCCGGCTCCAGAGGGCCCCAAGGGCTGGATCTCTGCTGTACAAAGTGGGTTTTACAACCACCTTGACTTACACTGAGGAGTAAACGCTGAGTTCACCATCTGGAGCTTCCAGCAGCCTTTCTGAAGCAGGGTCTCTTCTAACGGAATGCCCGCGTTAACACCAACGTCCATGAACCAGTCTCGTTTCTGCCGCGATGTAAAACACGAGCAAAGTGGTGGTTTCCTACATCCCTGAGCATAGAGTATATAGGCTGATGAGCGGTATCAGGGCGAGCACTGAAGGTCTGTGGTGCCAATGGACCAGCTTTTAGGTTCGCCTTTAGGACAGGAACAAAAAGACACGCTGTACCTTGTTATCTCCTTCGGGTCAGATCCAAGGGTATCCGTGTACGAGGCGGAACAATGACATAACGAACACCAGACTCCATGTTATTCTTTGGGCAAGTTTGAGAAGTCACAACCAGTTCAAGTGCTGGCAGACCAAGTGGGAATGAACACACAACTTCTGAGAGCGGAGGTTATCCCAACAGAGAGTCAATGGCTCAAGCTGTGCAAACCCTTGTTTGCATTTCCTCCTTCCCTGGCCTGGAAACCAGCCATAGAAGAAGAAGAAGCCATCGCTTAAACCCCATTCTGCTTCATTTCCCTCTACCCACCCGACCAGCTTTAAGGCCTGCCTCAAATGCACGTACAGAACAACACAAAAGATGTCTTCATCATCACTGAAGTGGCACGAGATTGCAAAGACAACACGATGGGAGAGGTGGTGAAGCTCTATAAAAGAGAACTGAAATCATTAAACAGACGGTGCCCTATTCCTGTTACTGTCAGCATGGAGGAGGTACCTTCACAAGGGCTTTTAACTACAGCGAACCCCAGACTTGCCAAAACACCAATCCTTGCCTATTCTTTTGTGCATTCCATAAAACACTGACCTAGCAAAGACATTAGGGACTATCATATGTCAACTGTGGCATTGACATAAAGCTACTTGACCTATAGATCTCCAAACCAAGGGTCTTTACTTTCACCTCGCTTGGTCTTCACTGAGCCAGTTGCGCTGCACATAGAGCTTGCATGATAGGATTTTGGATCGTGGTGGGCTTTAATATCTGCTTTTCTCCTTGTTTAATATTCTTTTAGTGAAAAATCCACATGAGGCTGCATGCAAAGCTTTTGGGCAATAATCCATTTTGCATGTGTCTTATCTGACTGGTTTATTGCACATTCACATGTACTGAAAGGGATAAATACACTCTATGCATGGGTACTCTGCTACTCAACCAAGACCAGACAGATGCTTATTTCCTCTCTCTCCTCCAAAAGATCCATGTAGTCCCAACAACCAGAACTGCAGAAAGTGGTCCCCAAGTGCCAAAAGCTTCCTGCAGGACATGGCTCTGACTACACCTCTCTTTACAGTCCTGCTGGATGAGCATCTTCAGCCACCCCGTGCGAGCCTCACAATACGGTACAATTGTACACCTCCGATGCGCTCCTCACTCCCAACACCAAACCACAAGAACGATGGTGAACGGGAAAGAAAGAAAACCACAAAGAAACAAAACAGAGAAAGATGCCAGGGTTTTGACAAGAGTCTACTTTCTGTCCTATCACAGTTTAAAGCTATTATCAAATTCCATTAAAAAAAGACAAAATAGAAGTATTCCAAGTAGACGTCTTCTAAGAACGATCTCTTACCCACAGCTGAAGTTCAATGCACTATTCCATAAACATAACATCTGTTACAGGTTTCAGTAATGAATCTCTCTAAAAACCAGGCTTGCCAAAGAGAAAAAAATCCTATACAAGCAAGCCTGCTTTACTTAAGTTTAGACATGTTGGACAGGTCACTGGGTCTTTCTGAAGCCGTGTTAAAACACTGTCTCATCTCGGTGTGCAAACTGGAAAAGGTGTTAGTGATTCAGGTATTTGATTTGCTTCTGTTGCCCCTGGGAGGTTGTTTTAGCAAAGTGTTAGAGAATAAACCTTTTAGTATTAGTTTCTGATATTTGAAGGGGGGAAAAACATAGCCTTTCTATGGCTCTCTGGAGATATTTTTTCATCCCTACAGAACTGAAGTCATAAATTCTTCCCATAGCTTTCCATAACGTTTCAAATGTACTCACTGTATAGTTACCCTTTAGCTCAACCTCCAAATCAGCCTTTGCCAAGGCTAAAACCTTTGGAACAGAAGTCTGCTCTGTTAACTCAGCTCTTGGTGAGTCTCAGGAGCTGAAGTCACACAAACACACGCTGGGTAAAAAACAGCGGCACAGACATCACAGCTCTGGGATGGAACAGGTTTTTATCCTCTGCCTTCTCTTCACAAGGCTTCTCTGCGAGGTACTTACATCAGAATGAACTATGGAAAGCAATTCTGCAGGAGGAAATCACTGTTTGTGTGCAAAACAATCAGATTTCAGCCAGGACAACCAAAAAGAAATCATACAATGCCAGTTAAGCTGTCCCAGATTCCTTCACTTTTCCCTAGGTGAGCCACAGCTTCCACTGGGAGCTTCCTGCTAAGGCAGAACTTGGATTTCTTTACCTTTCAGTTAAGTATTGACGTGGAGGTATCTTCTGCTAGAAGG